GTTGGGGGGGTGGTTGTGGTGCGGGGTGGGGGGGGGGGGGAGTGGGGCTACTCCTCGTCCGAGGAGTCCCGATCAAAACTGTACGCCATGAAGAAAACGTCGGGTCGAGGTGGGACGAGGGCATGGCCCGGTTTCACAATCTCAAAGCCCAGAAAACTGAAGGTACGCACCAGTTTGGCTGCAAGAACAAAGTGAGGAGAAGAAAATGTTAATGTGAGGAAGAGGAGGACGTCGTCAACACAGGACCCTGGGCTTCTGAGAGGAACTGGTATTTCATGACTTTATTTCACGGTCAGTTCAACAGTAGTACGAAGTAGTATTTCTTCAACTGTAAATGTTTTGGGCAGAAACAGGAGTTTTTCATGCACGTACCTCGATCATCTCTGTTCTTGTAGAAGCAGACAAACACGCTAACAACTTTCAGATGTTCTTCGGCATATTCCAGGAGAGCAGCAAAACTGGACGAGGGAAAAAAAAGGAAAAAAAGAAAAGCAGAAGCAAAGGTTAAGACGCTCTTACACACTAACAACCATCAACCCTGATGGTGATAAACTCGATTTCTACCACTTTTAGGCTGCCCTAAAAGTGCCTGCCTTAAAATACAAAATCCAACTGAACCAGATTACGGTTCTAAAACATTAACATTTTTTTTTAAACTGTTGGATTGTTGTTGTTGGCTCCGCCCTCACCTCTCCTTGCTGCCTTCAGGAAGCGGCTCCAGTGGTATCTCCACGTACAGGGCGCCGTTGCTCAGGACAGCATCCAGCTGAATTGTCTTGGTGACAGTGGGGTGCGTCTGGAAGTGGAGAATCCCCGGGCGACCATTTCCTGCCGGCTCCTCCGTCACAGTCAACTTACGGTCCTGGGAAACAAACAAACAAAACCCACCCACATTAGCCACAGTGCTAAGAACATTCTTCTTTCTTGTGGATGATTTTTTGTTAGTGTAAACTAACATGTGATCACATGACAGGAAATGGGCTCTTGTTAGTGTAAACTAACATCACATGACAGGAAATGGGCTTTGGCAGAGCTATTTCCTCGTCCATTTTCACTTCTTCCTCCGAAATAAAAAGACCGACACAGACATGAGAAGGTGTGAACGGTCCAGACTTACTGAGTAGACCGGCCGAGCTGAAGGAGTGTGATCCCGTGTGCCATTCCCTCGCCCACCTGGGATCTTCAGGGGTGGGAGAGGGGCATCAGGAGCACCACAGAGGCCCTGGGCCGCGGGTACTACTACAGTGCAGGGACAGGCTGCGGAGGGAGGAGGAGCAGAGACACCACAACATCAGGAGAATCCAGAAAATATATTGTAACGTTACAACCCTGAAGAGTCACGGTGACTCACAGCAACTGATCTGGACTAAAATAAATGATTAAACTAGACGTAGACGCTGGTTAGCTAGTTAATGGTAAGTTGGACCCGACCACTACTCAAAGGGTCTGCCCCTCACTTTGTGAACCAAATTTTAGAGACCTGATGTTTAACAACATGCTGTGTTTTCTATGCTAACAGTTATCCTACAGTTAAATTGTTAAAAACTCAACATATTGTGGTGCCTATAGTACCGCAATACTATCGTATCATTCTTACCAAATCACCCCCTGCTTTTTTGGACTTCTTTTTAAATTATTTATATCACCTAATGCAAATTATTGATAATGATCATTCATATTCGTTTATATACGAAAACAATTGTATTTATCATACGTGACCAGATAATCATTTCAGACTGTGATATCTGTGACCACTGACACATCTTGTAAACACAACAAACTAAATGCCGACTGGAATCGCTATGAGTCATCAGCTTCAACCACACTGGCTAACCACTAATTTATCTACTAAATAAGTGATAACAAACATCCTGTGTGTGTTGTTTCTCTACTGAAAATAAATGTATCTTTAATTACTGACCACTATTATCTAGAATTGAATTTTTATGAACTTAATTAATGAGTAACAGATAAACTGTTAAATAAATTAGCCTTCATCGTCTCCAAACACATTTTATCTTTAAAATGCGACTAAAATGGCGGATATATCAACTTCTTCGCCTTTAAAGACCGGGCCAATTAATTAGGAACAATTGCGACACTTTGGACGGACTGGAAATATTAAAAGTTTGGTGTTATATGACGACAGATAAACATCTCGCTCTTGTTTCCACTACACTACAACCCACTACCCGGGGCTAACATCTCGCGAGATGTAACCTGTTAACCTGACAGTTACGTAATAACAGACTTGACTCAGCTGGTAACTCACGGGACCCTTAAGAGTCACAAGCACGCGCTTAGATTCCATCCTTTCGACATGTTCTTCTGTTATTTTTTAAATAAATTTAAATTATATGCTTTAATATTCTGTAAACATTGTATCACTAGTGGTTTCAAACGCTAAGTCTGACATGAGCGTAGATACCGTATCTCCTTAAAGGTGTCTTAAGAAAACGGCCTATAAAAGAACTATTGTAACGCAGGTTTGGAGTAGTTTAACAATTACTTTTTTAATAAAAGTGTGTTGGTTTATATGACCTCTGTGTATTTTCTTTGTGTATGAAAGTTTTTGTTTTCCTATTTTCTCCTCGTGACGTAACATGTTTAACGACGTCCACGATCGACGCTAGCTAATTTGACGACTGTCGTCATTACTCGTCAGTCAAAAATACTTATTTTAAAGTTGGCAGTTTTGAAGATGGGGTCAAACGTATGCGCGATTTTGATTAAAACACCACATGGCTGTTTTGGGATGTTACAATGAAACTAAACAACAAAATACGTCGGACTTCCGCTTATTTTCGGCGTCGGCTAGCCCTGTTAGCTTAGCTACCCCTCCCCCAACGTCACGGTTAGCATCTAAGGTTGCGCTGTTTTCCTCTTCGTTTACTTACTTCCCAATCATGTCACAGATTCCGCTTCCTAAATCCGCCATGGTAGTTAAAGACTGATGTTTTCCTTCCTTCTCACGAGCAAAGCAATGACTGTTTAGGATCCGCTGGAGGTTGGATTTTACCATCCGGCCTCGGGTAGAGACACGACGGGTTGACTGCTCTCTGCTATGCTCTGCTGGGAAGTGATCGGACAGATAACTGCAGACGATACAAGAGGGAGGAGTCAAGTTACCTAAAACAAACACTCACAACATTTATTTTGCGATGTCAAAATAAGACACCAAATAAAGGAATATAAAAATTAGTAAAACAGACAGAAACGCGCTAAAAAAAATCAAAACACCAAAACAGGACTATTCCCTTTATCCACTTTACATTAAACAAACACACACTTCTTATCAAATGACAATAACACTTTTGATAGGCTAAGCTAATCAGGCTGATGACGTTACATCTTTTGAGTTGCACTACTGTCACGAGGCCAATTTTCACAATGAAATTTACAAAAAAAAAAGTAAAAATAAACAAAACTAAGTACATGACCCTAGTAGTGAACACACAACAGTTTACTTACCACTTACCATAGCTTAGTAAATATAGCAAGTTGGTAGTATTTTTATATAATCCTTCGATTAATTTTTTTAAAAACATTCTCGCTTATTACAAATTTCTTACGAAACTTGACACTTTCTATATTTTGAGCTTGAAACAATCAATCATAAAAATACCTCTTAAAATCTCGGCTTCTGGCAATAAATCTGCCTTTATTTTGAAAGCGTGAATATAGCGCTAGCTGCGCTGCAGCATAAAATGTTGTCTAGCTTCACACTAAAGTTTAGCAGCAAAGCTAAAGCTGCTAACAGAAAAAACAGCCTGTGTTTGTTGGATTCTGGTTGGCTGCAGGCTGTAGTGTTTACAAGAGGGCGTCTCATGGAAAAGTACTGAAGACGGAGAGAGAAACTTGTAACAAAGACGCTATGCCTACATCGATTTAACAATTAGACAACCGATTAGTCGGCGTAACTCGTCATCATATTTCAGCTCATGGCCATTTTGGTTCGGTTTATCAGTGTTGTCACTCATAGATGTGTATTTTTTATAAATAAAGTATGTTTAAGTGGGACTGAGTTTTGTCAGATATAAACGTCATTGTTGCAAATTACAAATATCATTTAAATGATCTAACCATACAGATACGATAAGAACTATTTCTAATACGTACTAAGCATTTAGTTAGGTTATTTAACTTGTTTTTTGTACTCTAGACATTTAAAAAACATTAAAATGTATTTGTTTATAAAGGGTTATTTATGTTACACTTACCTAAATAAACCCTTAAACCAGTCAGTGAAACATTTGAACATCTTTGGGTGCAGGTTACGTGAGATTATACACCCATGTATTGTAGACATATAACAACAAGGTAAAGTGTTAATAATCTACTTCACTGTAACCCCTTCGTATAACTCAATAAATGTAACGAATGAACAGCATATAACGCTAAGGTTTTAAAAAAAGTGATGGAATACTCACTTTTAAAGAAGTGATGGAATACTGTGTAATGTGAAAGGATCAATGGAACATTCTTCCAGATCAAAGACTTCAGAGTCCACATCTTCATAAACGTATTTTGGCCCAGGTCACCTTAAGAATTTGCAGACATATTAATAGTTATTGTAAAACTTTAAACGAATAAAACGGATTAATGGTCTATTATTGTATGATTTATTTTGTTTGTCAAATTCAATGCCCACTTTGAAAACAAAAATGCGCTGACACAAGCGTCCATACGGGGGCGCCAAAGAAACAGTTGTCCATCGCCTCTCTTCTCTATTGTAGCGTTCCCCGTCTGCCTGTCAGATGTATTTTGTCCCTCGTCGTGCTCTGTCGGTCATCACCAGCAAAAGGGGGGGAAAGGCAGCGTCGTCTGCGTAAGAGACTTTCTGCAGCTGAATGAGCTGATGCACTGCTGCCGCCTCAAAGATGGAGTTCGACACCGCCGTCCGGAGAATAAAGCCGTTCGGAACGAACAGTTGTGCTTCTCAAGATAACAACGGCTCCCACGAGCAGTGCGGGGATAACGGCTACAGCGGCTGTGACCAGAAGAGGAAGCCCGAAGTGAGGCTCTACCTGCTGCGGGAATGTCCGGCAACAGTGCTGGTGTGTGTGTTTATTTTGGTGCTGTGGGCACTGGTTCACCTGTCGTTGCAGCAGCTCGTCATTGGAAAACCGACCGGAGATTTCAACGCAGTGAGAGCCAGGTGAGCGTTGACGGTGCTGTGGGGTTTTTTTTTTGGGACTTTTTCAGTACGATTTTGTTCTGTCAGCGCCGGAGCCGCTGCCGCGCTAACCTTTCCTCCAGTTAAAACAGCCACAGACCCGCCTAGAAACCACTGCCGTGTGTCCCCTTCACCTCCACTTTGATCTCCAAGGTAACCTGTGGGACACAGAGCAGCGTGTGGCGGTTAGAAGCGTTAAGTGCAGGTGAAGAAGGAAGACAGAGACTCCACGGCTGCTCGACCGGAGCCAGGGTTTGTTATTTTGCGTAGCTACGCCGTACCCACCGTTTAAAACGGTTTACTACTAGGCTGTCAAACCCCCTTTTTTAACCGGGGGCCTCATCAACAACACAGTTCCCCCTTGAAGGGCCGGTTGTAAATGAAAGACTTTGTTACATACGAACAAATCCTCAGAATACCCACAACAATCTCCAACACTAGCAGCTCAGCCATACAGATTAGCTGAGCTGCAGTTTTCAGTTTTCTGTGTAACAAAGCAGAGGCAGGGATTAAGGCTGTGCAGCTGAAGTCAAGCAGTGGGATTTGTCACCGTTTGCCTGGTTACTGGCAAAGATGCATCTGTGGAACAATTAGTCTTGGCTCTCGGCTCCTCTGGCCTCAGTAATGGCTGTCATAAAGTCGTACAGTCCACGGACAAATACTGAGGATTGAGCCAGGACTCAAAAGTAGGGATGTCCAATATTAACCTTTAGCCGATTTTCGATGTCGTCCAAAACACCTCATTTTTAATTCTGATATAGTGGTGCAGTGGTGGCCTGTTGGTTAAGTAAGTTTAAGTGTCACCTGATCACTAAGGCGATGGGTTAGCATGCTCCCCCTAGAGGAAAAAAAATGAAATACTATTGAGCACCTGGTCATAGTTATTTGTCTGTACAAATGACTGTATGAGTTGCCGGCACGAGTACTAGCACTGCATGCAATCGTGGGATTATTCAAATAAAATGAGCTGCAGTGCTGCCACCTAGTGAATTTCACTTTCATATACAGCTGATCTTCCCCAAAACTGCTTTTTAGGGCCGATATCATTTGGCAAAACCCCAGCATTGTGTTATGAGGTTTTCATTATCGGAGGAAAAACCGATATCGATTCTTACAGATATTACATCATTATACTAATATCGGACAAATAACGATAATATTGGTCACCGATATTTTCGGACTTCCCTACTCAGAAGTATCCAGAATACAGCGTGAAACCAAAATAAACTAAAATGAGAGCAATATTTTATCCAGTAGAAAAATAAATTGCTGTTGTTTTTTTTCATTTCTCGTAGACGACACTTGAAAAATAAAATGCTGTTGTTTTTTTCATTTCTCCTAGACGACACTTGACACAGATCACTAGCGTTGGCCCGAGGCCAGTGGGCAGCGAGGAGAATGAGGTCCTGACAGTGGGCTACTTGTTGGAACAGATTGAACAGATCCAGGTGGAGACGGCGCTCAGCAACCATCAGCTCAGCGTGGACGTGCAGCGGCCCACCGGCACATTTTCCATCGACTTTCTTGGAGGCTTCACCAGTTTCTATGACCGGGTCACCAACATCGTTGTCAAGCTGGAGCCTAAAGGGGGCGCTAAGCATCTCATGCTCGCCAACTGCCACTTCGACACAGTAGCCAACAGCCCAGGTATAAACACGTTACGTGTCATTAGTCGAGGGTGTGTCCACTAACTCATTAACCTAACCTAACGTGCTGGTACAGGCGGAAGACGGTCACATACAGACACACGTGAAACGCCAGGGTGTAGTCACCTGATGCAACAAAACCTCGTCATTTCAATTAAAGCTCCTGCAGGTTGTCGTAGGTACTGTATTTAACGTTAAGGTAAGAATTTAAGGGGGTTAGTGTGCGTCACAAAGGCTGCTGTGTTTCTGCCTGCAAGTCATTTCTCTGGCCCTCATAATAATCAAAAGTCTATAATCACACCAGCAGGGGGCGTTACCTGTCACTGGCTGCCGTACAATAACCCGGTCACTTACAGATACTTACTAATCCAACCCAAGTCCATAATCTTTAAACCTCAAAATGCTCTCTGCGAAAAATGTTTCCACAAGTATAGCAGTACCAGGAACACACACACACACACTCAGTAACACTCCCAAACAAACACACACATACACACATACACACATATGTGCCTTCATGCTTTTAGAGGAAATTGATCTAAGAGGTGTGTGCCTTCAGACTTTTAGAGGAAATTGATCTAAGAGGTGTGGACCAGGAAAATCATTCTCACAAAAACATTCTCACGTCCGCTGCTGCCTGCGGGACTCCATCATATGAAAGACTGAATGTGGTGTTAATGTGAGGCAGCAGTAAGACTGAGCGTGAATGAATGAATTCACCAGATCAGCAGTGAACACATCAAACCACTCCCCTCCCCCACTCTCTCTGCCCCCCTCCCCTGAATGCACAGTTGACAAAGCTGAAGCACATGATGTGTTTTTGGTTCTCTGAACCTTCAGCCATCGCTCGGTCAAAAAATGTTTCGGACTTTCCTGATTCCCTTTTTTTTCTTCTTTCACTTCCGCTCTTTTATTACCTTCGACCTCTGAGTGAAATGACACAAACACAACAGTCAACTGATGACAGGTCAGAGAAAAGTCAAATGAAGTTGAAAATGTTAAACTTCAGGAGACAATGAAAAGAAATCCCCCCAAAATATAACAAAACATAACAGGTCAACAACAGGTCAACCAGTTTTCACCCCCTAAAAGCTAAAGGTTAGCCTTTTTAAATAATAGCTAGCCAGAAGATTACTTAATGTTAAAATGAAATGTTGCAACAAAATTTTTAAATAGGTGACATGATGTTTTTTTAATATTTATATATATAAATAAAATTACAAAAATATTACTTAAAAAGTCCACGACTTGCGGAACAAAACACAACAGGCAAAGTTAGCCTGAATGTATATATATAAGAAAAATGTGTTAAAATTACTTAAAAAAAAAAAAATTCCCCAAAATATCTTAAAGCTAAAAACTTGTTTAAAATGTTTATTGGCTGAGAACAACTGAAAGTAGTAAAGTCAATAACATACTGTAACTACAGGTAGTATAAGTATGTACAGTATAGTATATAGTAAATACTATACTATAATATACACCAATTTATACTATATAGTATATAGTTTCAATTGGTGCTAAAATGTGGAAAAAAAATAATCTGAACATTTTTTAGTATATAGTAAATACTAAAAAAATACTAAAAAAATAATCTGAACATTTTTTCAAATAAATCAGTGGAAAAAAAATAATCTGAACATTTTTTCAAAAAGGATTATGAGGCTTCATATGTGACAGGATCTCAGAGTCTTTGTTTTCTCACCTGCTCTCTCTCTGCTCTCTCTCTGCTCTCTTGGTCGTCGTGTTAGGAGCCAGTGACGATGCAGTGAGCTGCGCAGTGATGCTGGAAGTCCTTCACTCTCTGGCCAATCAGTCCTCACCGCTCCGCCATGGAGTCATCTTCCTCTTTAACGGAGCGGAGGAAAACATCCTGCAGGTGAAACCACATGGACACACACACACACCCACACACACCCTCTGAGTGGATTCTCCTTCTCACATTAAATTTTAAATATTCTCATCTCCTCCTGATGTTTTCCTCTTTTTTTTCATGTTTTTTTTCTCCCTCCTCTCTCTCTGTCTCTGTCTTATCTTCCTGTCCGACTCTCCAGGCCAGTCACGGTTTCATTACCCAGCATCCTTGGGCCAAGCAGGTGCGAGCCTTCATCAACTTGGAGGCTGCAGGTGTTGGGGGCAAAGAGGTTGTTTTTCAGACGGGTAATTCACCTTCATGTTTTATTTATGGCTCTGCCTAATGTCTTATCAGCACATTTCCTCTGGTCTGCTGTGAATGTGCGCTGTCTAATAACAGAGGTTTTTATTTTCCAACTGCAGCTCTGAAAATATACTCACACACAGTACTGCAGTTACGTGTTCGGGTTTTTGTTTTTTTTTCCAGCACCTTCATACGTTTGTTGACTGATTTAATCAGACGGTTGAATATATAATCCGCCTGAGATACCGTTTGAGTGTAACGTTACATGATGGCTCTGTCTGACATCGTAGAAAAAAACCAACTCAACGCTCACTGCAGTCGTTACCTTTCTGTCGTCCTCCAAGGTCCAGAGAACCCGTGGCTGGTCCAGGCCTACGTCCATGCGGCCAAACATCCTTTCGCCTCTGTGGTCGGTCAGGAGGTTTTTCAGAGCGGCATCATTCCCTCCGACACCGATTTCCGTATTTACAGGGACTTCGGTAACATCCCAGGTGAGACTCCTTCGGTTGAAGTTGTTGTTTGTTTTCCCCCCTTGTCCAAGAATCACGTTTTTTAATAAATGACCTGATGTCCTCGACTTCCTTTCCCTGGAAATCTGACGGAATCAAAACAAGTAAAATCTGATTCAGTTTTTATACCAAATGGCCATTTTCTGCACTTTTGATATTTTCTGTTTTTAGTAAATTAGCTCATCACACATCATCTGTGCAGGCACAGAGGCATTTTGAGTTAGCAACACTTTAGTAGAAAAAAATGGCAAATTGTGTTGTTCTAAAATTAAAAAGTAAAAAATTTAAAGACAGTTTAGTGTTGTATTGTTTCACAAAACAACAAAATCACATCACTGTTTTCTCTTTGCTGAGAGGACTCCAGGTTCGGTCACATGGTAGTTCAGGTTGAGAATTCACTCACCCCTTTTTCACAACATTGATGTGTTTGATTGACAGGCATCGACCTGGCCTTCATCGAGAACGGCTTCATCTACCACACCAAGTACGACACCCCCGACCGCATCCTGACAGACTCCATACAGAGAGCCGGTACGGAAGTCAGCACACCTGCACCCACACCTTGCACTTCATGTTCTCGCCGCCTCCCACCCCCTCACGCCGCCGCTGACGCGACCGTCTCACTGACACTGAAGAAGTGCGTGCCCACACGCTTTTTACTTGGCCTCATTCTTCAGTCTCCTGTTGCTAATTATGTTTGCTTTACTTAGCACAGAATCCAGTCAGTCAGCACTTAAATCACAGACACTTTGGCATCCGTCCCATCTTCTTCCTCAGCGGCTAGCGGACGTCACCCTCTTCGTCTCCTGTGCGCAGCAAAGTGAGCGTGAAGGATGTGGAGACAGAAGAGACAGAAAGTGGCTTTTCAGAGAGAGTGTGTGTGTGTGTGGGGGGGGGCAGATAAGGAAAGTGTGAGTGTAGGAAGAGGGAAGCAGCAGGAACTTTGATTTAAATAGAACCTGTTTAAAGATATGCTGTGTGGAATTTAGCGACATCTGGTGGTGACATTAGGGGCTCAGATTAAGCCCCCCCGACCCCCCCATTGCCTCACCATTCCTGTCCATCCTAGCAGTGAATCCTTGCTCGTCATTGGTTTTGCCTTTGGTAAAAAATAAGAAGAATTTAAACAAAAAATTGACTAAATTAACGTCATTTACCAACACGTGACCCCTTTGGTAAAAAATAAGAAGAAATGTGTCAGAATTTAAACAAAAAATTGACAAAATTAACGTCATTTACCAACACGTGACCAACATTTTTAGCCAAACAGAACAGAATTCTGGGATATTCTGACCTTATGGGCAACTACATGTTGTTTCTTCTGTGTCGGTGTCAGTCTCTACCATGTAAGGACGGGACAATGGAGCTCTGTTTTGCCTCTGTGTGTGTGTGTGTGACAGAGAGATGAAGACCAAGTCTGTAGTCTCTGCAGTTATACAACATTTGTTCACAAATGGGGCAACGTGGGACGTGTAGTGGGCTAGCTGGAAAAAAAAAGAAAAAGAAAGAGAAAACGGCTGCTGTCGGCTTCCCAGGATGTAGATGAGTAATGAGTTGACATGAAGGATCAATACTGGGCCACTGTGTTGGTACAGAGGCCTGAGGCTGAGGGTTCGCGGTTAACAGTTCACATGACAACAGACTGACCTGACACTGTTTGTCAACTACGGTGTGTGTTATTGTCAATGCATGATTGAAAAAGGAATATTTTTGGTTTAAAAAGAGGAAAACAATGTTGGTGTATTATCATGGAGGAGGTTGTACTTTGGTTGTAGTAGAGTGGGAAGGTGAGTGTCAGTACTTTATGTATGGGTTATAGCTGTTATCTGCCAATGTAAAAGAGAGAGAGAAAGAGAGGGAGAGAGAGAGAGAGATACCCAGACTGACTGGCTCTGGGTCAGCAGGTGNNNNTCTGTATGTGTCGTACTGGTGCACATTGATTTAACAGCACTCTCTGTCGGGCTAATGATTTAAAAGAAAAAAAAAAAACACATTAGTTTTACAACACAATAAAAAAACCGTCTCACATCAGAAAATATTGAAATTATTCCTGTGAAAAACTCAAAAGCATGTTTTGTGGTTTTGAGCCCAGATAATTCTAAGAGAGCAGAAATTATGACAAGAAACACCAGGAGAGGATAAAAAAATGAGGATTTAAAAATGGCAAAAAATAAATAAATAAAAAAGATGAGCCCATTTGTTGTGATTAGAAACAAAATGAGTAAATGAATTAAAAATATCACATAAATATGAATTAAAGAAAGTAAGAAATTTCATTGGGGGAAAAATGAATCTTACACCTGAAGAAGGGCCATGTTTGGCCCTCAGACCAGATATTGGACACTCGATTCGTCATCACTCTTTAAAGGATGATTTTTTGTGTCATTTCCTTCTTTCCTCCTTGTGGCAGAAACCTAGAACAACAACAGGGATATTTTACTCTCATGTACTGTGTACTCACCGTCGCTGTCTCTTTCCAGGTGACAACATCCTGTCGGTCCTGAAGTACCTGGTGACGTCAGAGCGACTGGCTGATTGGTCGGAGTACCGTCATGGCAACATGGTATTTTTTGACCTGTTGGGGGTGATCGTGGTGGCGTACCCAGCCCGCGTGGGCACCATCCTCAACTACATTGTAGCCGCAGCCACCTTCCTCTACCTCGCCAAGAAGGCATCACTCCCGGGGAACGGTGGTAGGAAAAAAACAGATGACACGTGTGTGTGAGTGTGTGTTTTCCGTTGTTGTTATGGGACTCAGTCCTTGTTCTTTTTTGTTTTTCTTTTTTCTCCTCTAGGCGGCCGCTACTTTCGCAGCCTCGCCTGTGCCACAGGTGTGGCGGTCCTGAGTTGGTTCATCACTCTGGTGTCGGTGCTGATCGTAGCGCTGCTCGTCACGTTGATGGGCCGCTCCATGTTTTGGTACAACCACTTCTACGCCTGCATCTGTCTGTACGGTACGGCAGCCACGGGGAAGATGATCTTCATCCACACCCTCGCCAAGAACTTTTACTACGGGGTGAGTCACGTACTTTTACTTTTGACTTAGGGCGGGAGAAATTATCGATACACTGAAATATTGCCGTATTTCGTTTCACGATACCATATTGATATTCAAGGGCTCTGTGTTGATTTGTTATTATCAATTAACGTGCAACTATTCATGGTGTTGGTTTACATCGTATCTGTTGATGTTGCGGAAAAAAGGTTTGTTATGGAAATATTTGGAAGTATTTGCGCCAAACGATCTTTTTTTATTTGTTTTGTTTTTGTTATTTTTTACTACTTTTTCCTACCATGAAATTGTTAAAAAAAAAAATCGTTGCAACTATGGTTTTGCACTATATCACAATATATTGTGACGTTGTTCCTGTTTCGCGATACATATCGTATCGTCAGTTCCTTCGCGATACACTAACCTTAGGTGCAGACAAATTTTTTTTTTTCTCTGCGTGTTTTCGTTAACTCTTCTCGTTTCCTGCTCTTCTCTTTCTGGATCTTCTCTGTCTGATGCTGCTGTCGTTTTCTCTCCTGGTGTAAAACACAGTAGACGGAGGATCAGCTTTTACAGTTCTAGTTGTAATGTAAATTAATTATTAAATGATCATTTTATGTTGCTGTGCCTCGTCTTGAATGACAAGAAACCAGTTCACACCAGCGTCTGCCGCTTGTTTGTGCCGATGAAAATGACGTCCGCCTTCATCAGCTGAATATGTAAAGGCTGATGTGCTCATTTCTCAGGTTCTCAGAAACTCATTTAGTCATAATTCACCAGTCAGTCATTAAGCGTTCACTACAAACACAGACATTGTCAGGTCAATGGCAGGAAAGGGCAAAAAAAAAAAAAGGGACATTAAGGACAGTTTTGTCCAGAGGGAAGTTGATCAGCCACCGTGTGACCTCTGCTGTAAATCACGTCTAACGTCGGGTCCAAAGGTGAAACATTTGCCTCGTCGTTGAGGCTGAGTGAACGTTGAAAAAGTCGTCGTATCTGTAGCCAATCTTGATTTGTATCATAAAAAAACAAACACTTTTTGCTTCATGGAGCAAGTTCAACATATTAGTGCTGGGGCCATTCAGTTCAACACAGAGCTTTCCTTTGTTTTTGTATGAAAAAACAAAAAAAAGGGAAAGTCTGTGAATTCCTCTCAGCCTCGCGTCTCCATGTGTCCTGCTCTGTTTGTGTTCCAGAGCAGAGAGAAGGAAACGGTTTCGTTTATTTTACCCTATAGTGGTTACAAAACAGCAAGTCCTATTGTAGCTTAGAGAGAGAGAGAGAGAGAGTGTATGTGTGTGTGTGGGGGGGGTGAGTATGTGCTAATAGGTGTGTCAGTCATGTGATGAACCCACTCACTGTGAGCCTGTTGATGTGCAGACAGATCATTTTCAGGTCTGATAACGGCCGACCGTTGGCAAAAGAAAAAAAAAAAAAAGTATTTTCTTCCCAGTCATGTGCTTAAGGTTCTGTTGCAGAAAAAAAATAGTTTTTAGTTTGTTACTCCAATTTATTTTATGTATATTTTATGTATATAAGTCGACTCAGCGGCAAAGAGAAGCTGAAGTGTGTGTTTTTCTGTCTGTAAAATAGTAACGCAGTGATAGACCAATAAAAATGATCCTGCAAAATGAGACAATAATCACCTGCTGAGCTCAAGTTCACGCTGCTGTGTCTCTGTGGTCTTGTGACCGTGATGTTTTCAAACCCTCTGGTCACAGAAAGAGTACATTTGCTCGTAAGTCACTGTTCTGGTTAAACAAGAAAGACACTGATGAAGGTGACACTTCATCTGCCGTCTCTGAGTATACGGAGACAGGGAGAGAAAAAAAAAAAGACGATGGCGACGGTGATAAGGATGACGATCTCGTCACGGGCAGGAATCTCAAACAATAATCAGGAGCAGAATTTGTTCCAGTGGGCCACGCCCTACAGATTGAGAATAACATGCGTACGGGGAGAAGTCGGCGCTCTTCCAGTGAACTCAAACACAGGCCCCAAATGGAAAGGCAGCGTCTCAGCAGTTCAAATGTTAGCATACCTGAATAGTACAACAAACACTGGAGCGACCAGTGAACCAGAGCTGTTTTTGCTGTAAGACGAGACACTTAAAACACTTCCCCACTGTGTGACCCAGGTGGTAAACGCGGTAAAATCTTTGTTTCTTTTTCTGAGTATTATAACTAGAAACGTCCGATAATATCAGCCAACCGATATTAGCATAATTCTGTAATATCTGTAGGAATCGTTTTCGGATTTTCCTCCGATAATGAATCCCGATAATGCAATGCCTGGATTTCGCCAGATATGCTGAAATTCTTTTTTTGTACAGACAATGCTAATTTGTCGAATAAAAATAGGTATATGTTTTAATTCCACAACAGGAGATATGTCATGTGACCTACAAATAGTTTGGGGGAAGAACTGCAGCGTGTATCGGTTGATATCGGAATTAGAAATTAAGCGTTTGTACAATATCGGCATATCGGATATTGCCAACAAGCTAATATCGGACATCCCTAATTAAAACTGATTTCCCTTTGCTCACACAGAAAATTAGCTGACTTGTCAGTATTAGTTTGAAAAAGTATTTGCGGCTAAATCATACCTTTCAAATCATCATTAGCAAATGCTAATAACATTCAAATAAACATTTGTCTTGCCTGTGTGTGTCTTTCCTGCAGGGCGTCCGCCTGGTGGAGCTGGGCGATCTGTATTTTGACGTGAGTTTGCTGCTGTGGTGCTGCAGCCTGGTGTGGTTGACGCAGCAGGACCTGTGTTCAGCCTACGTCCCCATGCTCATGGTGGCCTTTCCCCTGGTCACCAGACTGCTGCTGGCCAAGGAGTTCAAACACAAAGGTAGGAACGCTCAACATTAGTCTCATTTGTGATAAATCTGTACATTGATTTAATCTAAATGGATTGTTGTGTTTTACATTTTTGGTTTGTTTATTATTGGCAGGAGCATCATTTAAGTACAGTGTATTTTACCTGCTGGGCCTGGCGTTGCCATACGTCCACTTCATGTTCCTCATCTGGGTGGTGTTTGAGATCTTCACACCCATCATGGGGCGCAGTGGCACGGAGATCCCTCCGGAAGTGGTGCTGGCCTCCCTGGTCACCCTCACCACCATCTTCCTCTCCTCTTACTTTGTAAGAATTTTGACATTTTTTAATTTGACTATAACAGTTCACGTCAAGGTTCAACATCAGAAAAAATGAAATATTAAATATATATTTTTAAAAAAGGCGAACTGAGATTGAAAGTGAGTAGTCATTCAGTTCAGTTCTTCAGACATGAAACTGAAATCTTACAACAAATTTCTGTTTCACAGTGAAGACAGAAAAGGAGGAATTGAAACACTTGATTATTAGGGCTGTAAGAAAATAACGACACTGAAATGCCGCAATATTTTGTCTCATGACAGCTTTTTAGTATTCTACAGCCCTGTAGGATATCAGCACGATTTTTTTATTAACAAATAACATGCAAATATTCATGGCATTGGTTCATTTTTCGCTTTGCATTCGACCGTCCAACTGCTTGTCGACGCTACAGGGACTGTAAAGATTTGTATACTTGGAGTTAAAAAATGTGTTTGTTTTTTTTATTCATTTGTTTATTTAAAAAATCGTGCAAATTATTTGATTTATCAGCTAGTGATTCCAAATGTAACCTGATGTTCAGATGGAACAGCATCTCCAGTAACAACCGTTGTCTGTCACAGCTACATTTTATTTACTTGGTCCGGAGCACCAAGTGGATCCTGATTGGTCTGGGCTCTGTCTTCATCGTCTTCTTCCTGTTGGTGTCTGGCGGCTTCTTCTTTCCTTACTCAGGAAGTCCAGAGAGTCCTCGACCAAAACGTGTTTTCCTACAGGTTTGTAATCACAAGCACGCACTGTTACAAAACATAAGAAGATAATTCAATTTGGGCAATTTTTTTTAAGTAGTAGAAAAAAGTGTGGGATCAATAAAGTTCAAATTATGATTAATATTATTATTAGAAAACGGACAAATCCATCTGGTCCTGAAAAAAAAAATCCTTGTTTTGTTATTCATTTACACCGTTAAACCATGGTCACTTTTCACTTTCATTTGGAATTTTTTTTTTTTTTTTCCTGCACGAGGTTTTTTTTTTTGCAGATAGCAGACACTTGTATGTTGCTGGTAGTTCTAGTCTACATCCTGGTCTTCAGTCTTAGATGGAGGAAATCTAACACCCAACATCTACTCCATGATGTTGATGCCAAATATTTCATTCATTCTTTTCCTGTGTCTCTTTTGACTGTGTGGTAAATATCTCTTAGAGACCAAACCCACACAGTGATGTCATACAGTATCTCACTGTTGTTTCATAGTTAGAAATGCAGATGTTTGAAAAAAAAAAAAAGAAGCAGAGAGATAGTAATTTGTTTTGTTTTGTTTTTTTGTCTGTCTTCCTGCCCTGCAGCACACAACAAGGACTTTCCACAACCTCCAGGGCCAAGTGGAGAGTCAGGACTCGGGTCTTTGGATCAACAGTTTCGACTACACCGGTATTCAGCACATCACGCCCATCATCCCCGAGGTCAACGACAGCATCCGCACCCACTGTCAAGAGGACCGACCCTTCTGCGGCTACCCCTGGTTCCTGCCTGTGAAGTTCCTCAGCAAGTCAGAGGCCCAGCGCTCTTTGTTTGACATTTATGTAGTGTTGACGTCCTGACGTGTCATTGTTACCCTGAGCGTTGTGTTGTGTTTGCAGGAAGAACTGGTACCTTCCTGCTCCAGAAGTGTCTCCCAGCCTTCCTGTGGAGTTCAGCCTGGTGTCCAAAGAGGAGACGAGGTGGGGGACGATCAAGATGACCTTCAGTGCTAAAGGTCAGGAGCATGTACGGAGCTGAAAAAAAAGAAAGGATACAATAGATGTTTACAGTGAACCTAACAGAAAAGGGACTTTTCATCACTGTACTTGTGTGTAACCTTTGTCAGGACCCAGTCACATGTCTCTGTACCTGATGCCGCACAAAGGGGCGAGTCTGTCCACCTGGTCATTTGGAGACGGGACGCCTCAGTTTGACCTCAGTGGGGAATATTTTGTCTTTTATTCTCACGGCCTCGATGCTCCAACGTGGAGCTTTTGGTTTGAAATACAGGTATTATTTCTACACCCTTCACAGATCAGGAATTCCAAGCCTGTAATGTTGGTGTTGTCTTTAGTTTAATTAATACCAGTAGGGGTCGCCACAGCAGTTATATTTATTTGGATTTTAGGTGATGTCAAATCTAGAGCCCTCTAGTGGCTATCTTTGCAACACTCTACCTCCTATAACAACAGTGACCGTGACAATAACCATAACCATCTCTCGTCGTTAGCCTCCAGCAAATCCAGACCCATCCGGACCTGAGGGAATGATCTCCGTCGCCATCTCCTGTCATTATTTCTTTGGCAAAGACCAGCGGACTGCAGAGCTGGAGAAAATCCTCCCGAGGTTCCCCCCGTGGGCCTTTCCTTCGTATTGGGTCAGCACCTACAACATGTACCGATACTGAGGGACGGCACGTCATCACTCCGCATCGCAGAGACAGATGCCGAGGAGAGTAGTGACCTGCAGGGCGGCAGTGCAGAGCAGAGAACAGAGATATCAGGCATTAGTACGAAGGACTGAGCCCTGAGGCCTTTTTCACACTGACACAATCGAGAGCATTCACACCAACGCACACACACTCAAACACACACACGCACATCCAAACAAGCGCTCCCTCCCTGCCGGACAGACCCACATCACTGTGTCAGGTGGCTCTGTGGCGAACGAGCAGGAAGAAGAGCTGAGAAATCCACCAGACTGAACGGACAAACGATTCTACGTTCTGTTCGACCTCTGTTTCAGAAGAGGCAAAAGGGGAGGGGGACAACTGGGGGTCAGGGGATGGGTTTTGGGGATGGTGTTGATGGAGGGAGAAGGGGGTGGAGGGATGGGGTCCTTTATCTGATTTGAAGCATCCAATCAGATTATTTCTTTTTTTGTTTTTTTTTTTATAAGTGATCGGAGAACGAGTTTCCACGGTCACTCAGCCTGGCCGTGACGGTCGGGTCGTGGTGAATGTAACCGGTTTTATACCATTCATACCTGGTGAAAGGTGTAGGAGGAAGTGGACGTTTCACTGTGGATAAAAACAGCTTGGCCGCAGTGGAGAGGAAAAAAAAAAAAGTTGAGTTCTTAAATCCCACTGTCTGAAAACATTTACGTTGACGCCACCTGTCTGGTGGTGACAACATCACAGGCTTAAACACTATGTGACTGCAGTCGGTTTCACATTCAGAGCTGTGAAGTTGCCCCTCCTTTCCCAGCTTCACTGCACAGTAATGAGACTTCCCTGTGGAATTTAAATTTAGTCAGATTCTCTACGGTTTAAAAAAAAAATCAGATTGGACTCAGGAGACAAGAAGCCTGTTGAGACAGCTCTGTTTTTTTTTGTTTTTTTTTATTTACTGACCTAATCTGTTGTGCCTTTTCTTTCCATCTCCCTGCCTTTTCCTTTGTCTTCCTGAAGAAGTCATGTCCCATGTCCTCCCCCTCGCCCACCTCACCCCAACCCTGTGTCTCCACTGTCCTCTGCAAACTTAACGTCAACATGCACTGGCTGTGGTTGTTGTTTTTGTTTTTGTATCTGCGATGTGTTCTGTGTGAAAACTTCTCATATTCCCACCTCGTGCAATAGATCACGAATGAGACAGTGTCGATATTCAACAAGGGTTAGGACTAAAAAAAAAAAACTGCTAAAATGTTCTGTAGTGGGGGGGAGAAAACCCAGACACACAACTTTACACCTCAACTGCATCTGCGTCTGTCACATACGAAGGTTCCCTAGCGTTATAAAAAAAACAGTACTTTAAATAAAAATATACTTTAGAAATTGAAATTATAATTGGCTTTTTTTTTTTTTAGAATGTAAAGTGGATTCTGGAGATAATCACTTTTCAACTCCATTATGTTTTTGCTTCCTGCATCACGTGGAGTTCTGTTGTGTCTTTTTTTGTCATCCACACATATCACGTCAGTAATCCTGCGTCACCGTTGTTTGTCTGGACATTTTCCACTCAGACTTGTGAGGAAAACGGTCAAATTACACAACTTTTCTGCTGCTTGTTTTTTTTTTTTTTGCCAGTCCATACATTTTCACATCACACCTGACACCACCTGTGCGATTAACTGACAGACACTGAACCCTACCGTCAACGTCCATTTTTTCTTGGTTGTTCTATATTGACACCGTTGGGATTACTTGTATCAAAGGAGGCCTTGGAACTCTTGTTTCCTAAAAGAGACAAAAAAAAAACATGCAGTTATAAAAGCCTAAAAACATCAAGTGCCACTTTGAACAGCGTTTTTACAAATAGTTCCAAGTCACTAAGGTCTTAGGTGTCGTCCGTCAGAGTGTGTGAGAGCGTGGTTTTCTTCTGACGTGAATGAAACGGAGGTGTGAGCTGATGATTCCAGGACGACGTATTCAGTCCTTGATTTTGTGCCGTGACTTTTGATAGGAGTAGGAGTAGAGTTTTTCACGGCGAAATACAATTCCACACACACACCGACAGAAATCTAAAGAACGTCTCTGCAGATTTCTACTGAAAATCTCAATGTTACCTTACGACCAGGGGCTTTTTTCGCTTATTGTCTTGATCTAATTTGCGAACCTGCCTATTCCGAATTTGGTGCGTAAGCAGAATCTACCAGTCTCAAAAACCTTCCTGCATGTTCAAGTTCCTGAAACAAGGTGCAAAATGAGGAGAAAAGAATAGAATCCTGTAAGAACAGAAAAATGACTACAGATGAAAAAAGAAAACAAAACTGACTATGTAAAACACTTTGCTGCTGCTTCAGCTGCGTGTGTTTGCGTGCAGTGTGTTTGAGCGTGTCAGGATGTTGAATATGAAGTGTGAGACTAAAGTGAGACATGGCAGAAAATTGGTTGTTTTCTCGTCAATGGGAGCATGTGGTGAAATATGCAAATAGTTTCTGGGAGAAAAAGCTTTATTAACAAATGTAAATGAATATTTTTTTCTACCTGCGTGTTCAGTGACGTTTGTATGTGTGGTTTTCATCAGTGTGAGAAGAATTCAAACACGGATGGGTAATAGTCAGCTGATCATTAACGCTGAGGCCGACGGGGTTACTGTTTAAATTAATACGTTATGTTTTTGGAATTTTTAAGGGGAGATGAGTAAAAAAAGAAATAACAAGGATATTAGGAGGAGGATGACGTTTAACTGCTGTGAAATTATTTAATCTTTACTGTTGGTGCTTTAACTTTGGAAGCTTTGGGTTGAGGAAAAAAATGTTTTAGTATATTTTTTCTTCTGTTACTCTTCTGATTCTTTCATTTTAAAATCTTAATTTTGTGGCAGAAAAGCTAACGCGACTCTGCTGTAGCTAACGTTTCTTATTCAGTGTACACTCTCACTGACCAATTAAAATCAGACCAATTAAAAGTTTGGCACATTTACTTCAAAGTCTTATGGTTTTGCTGTGGAAGGATGTAATTTTTATTAAATATTTAGTATTGGTTTAATTTCTGTTTTCCCCAACAGTTCTATTCTGTTTTTCCAAAAGTTAAAAATTATTGTAATGGTTTAATTATGGGTTGTTGTTTTTTTCTTTCTAAAGAACTGATCATTTTGTGTGTGATTTATATGACACTTTAAAAATATGATTTTCTCACTTGAACTTTTGTTTGTTTTAATTAATAACATGATGTCAGTTGGTTGTGGAAGGGTAGGCTGGTCTGCGTGGAGTCGACCTGGTTTACAGGGTAAATGTTGGAGGAGGATTTGGGATGATTTTACATTATGCAAAATAAAAAAGATGCCTGAATCCAATTAGCGATTGTGCAGCAATTAAAACATTGTTACGTAATTTTATTTATTTATTTTGTCATTACTTCATTCGTTTATCATTTCACTGTCTTCACACAACTACAAGCAACCGAGACTATTCCTAACTTCCAGGTTGTTTTTTGGTCCTATACATGAACAGTTGCTTAAGAAATGTTCATTAAATTGCAAAATGTTTCCGATAAACTATTCTTCAGGCAGCCATACACGGCTTTAAATCTAATAATTAGCCATATTTTATAAATAGTCTGCTAATAGTTCGGCAGTGGAGAAATAATAAGGCAAAACTAGTAAAACATACAACAAAATAGAAACAATGCTAACGAAAAACGTACGAAATAACTGTCAAAAGCTTTTTTTTTTTTTTTGCCAGGAAGTACTTAAAAAGGCAAATAAGAAAATAAAAGGCATCGCAAACCTAATGTACTTAATATTTAGCACGACGATGTCTATAAAATGGTCAGAACAATATCTTCAAATACAACATTAAGTAGTGAAGAAAATATTTATATGTTTAATGAATAACAAACTCCGAATATTGAACTCACCTAAAAATATTGTGACTGTGAATAAAAACATCGGTAAAATGGAAAACTTTAGCAGGTTGCTACAGGTGCAGCTAGTTAGCTCTGACCGACTCCATGACCACCCAATCACTGGACTTCAGAGTGCTGACGTCATCGTTAAAATTCACTGGACAAAAGTTAAAATTCACTGGAAGATTAGTAAAATTAGATTTTTAAAAAATACAAAAAGACAATATTTAGTAACAACATCTGGTAAATTCCACCCCCCAAAAATGCAATATGTCTGTTAACATATTTTACTGACACACTGAAAAAAAAAAAAAAAACATTTTCTTACCTACATGTCGGGTTAGCTTAGCTTCCACAATCAAAACCAGTGACTCTGGTTCTAAATACAGCAAACTGACACATTTTTTAAAAATAATTTATTGTTCTTTATGTACAAGGAGAAAATAATGAAATAGAAAAACCAAACATGAGTAGAAAAGACAAATGTACAAGAGAATCTTTTTACACTGCATTGAGATATTTGCTGCTGCTGCTGTCCCAGAAACAGGAACCAGACATTACACTTAAACTGTACACAGGAGGGAGAGCGGGAGAAACCAGTAAATAAAATCAAAAATACTCATCTCCATAGGTAAACATCTTAAAGTTTCCCAGGTCAGATTTAAAAATCTAAGCGTTGTCGTGTTACTAACAAGACCGGGGAGTGGGGGGGGGGTGTGTGTCCTGTTTTTGGTGGCACTCTGAACAACAACAGAAGGCCTCTGGACAGTGGAGTCTTTGGTTCATCAAGTCAGCGGTTTTCAAGTCAAGTAAAGTCAACGGTGGAGCAGCGTAGTGTGGCGTCTGGCTTGTTCAGGGTGGAGACATGCTGGCACATTTTCTATACTGAGTGACAACAGTACACAGAGGTGACTGCAGGCATTTCGTCCTCTAAATAAAGTGGAGAGATCAGACGACTTCCTGTTGAAGGCAGTTCATAAAAGATACAGAAACCACGAAGAAGATTCAACACCCAGCTCCTTTGTGTGTGTGTGTGTGTGTGTGTGTGTGTGTGAGAGAGAGAGAGAGAGAGAGATTTGGTCTGTTACAAAAAGACAAAGCAATCAAACATGGATGGGGGAGAAAAAAAAAAGATAAAAATAATATTTTCAATGAATTGCACAAGATAATACTGATGTAACTGTGAGAAACCTTTCAGTGCTTAATGGTTGAGAGACTGTGATAAACTAAAACAGGAAAAGTCATCAGTCAATAAAACAAACCAAGCACAGGTCATCCTTAAGCTATAATGCCAATAAATAAAAGTCATAATAAACTAATACAATAAAATCAATTCCTCATGAGGAAAGTCACCAAACATCATCAATACAATGTGGTACACACACGCACAGAAGCACACAAAAAGTCATGGGGCCCAATCCTTGTCATCGTGTCAAGCTGAGAAAAAGTCAGCCATGTGATATGTTTGAAATGTAAGTCCTGATCACATGATGACCCTCAAGAGCTGAGGCAAAAATGACTTCAATTTTATCCCTTGGATCTGAAAAAATACCAAAGTGTGACTGGTAATACTAACGACAAAGGAATCAAAGGGACGACTATAAAACCAGCTTAAATAACACATGATCTGCATCATCAGACTCAAGGAAGGGGGGGAGGGTTTGAATCTCTTCACCGTAAAGCAAACCCAAATATGGATAAAAATCTGGAAAAATTAACACATCATTTTGGTTTCGAAAGCAAATACTTCACCCAGAGACATTGATCCACTACAGAAGGGTGAAATACATGGAAAGAATTATTGATCAGTGGTTAAAGGTTCTCCTAAAAACCAGACAATTGTGGCCATTTGAACACATAGTGCTGTTTTTTTTTTTTTTAATGTAAAAGAGTTCTGTCAATCATAGTACCCATAGTCTTAGGTGAAAAAAATCATTGCTGTGCAGCTCAAGGTAATCCAAAAAAAAAACAAAAAACTATGCTGCACAACGTGAGCTGCTTTTTCACAGGATGTTACTGGCTGCACAACATGAGCTGCTTTTTCACAGGATGTTACTGTGCACTTTCACCTGGTCCCCGTGAAAAACCAGGTGATACAGTTCTGTTGTACAGACAGTCATGACTCGGCTGAAGCTGCTCGAGTCTGTACATGTCTGACCACTGCTGTGTTGTTCAGAACTCTGCCTCACGGCTCGTACGTCTTCTTTCAGAGTAAGCTGGATGTAACAAACACATAGCTTTTGCGCGCCGCCTGAATCACCATACAAATAAAAAATAAAATAAAAATAAAGCATCATTCCTACTGCACTGCGATGTACTTGCATGTTTTTTTTAAGACTCGGTGTGGTTTAAATTGTGACTGTTGTGCTCTGACTTTGTGAACACAACAGAGTATCATCAGGACCTGTTCTTAGAGTTGTTTTTTCCTCCCCCTAATGACAGTACTTTGTTACATTTAAAAACAGCACCCTGTGGTGAGAATGGCCAGGTGTCTGCACTAACGTCCCTACATCTTATTACACAAATCATATCATGAGCGTTTTTGTATTCTATCTCGAGATGTAACTGTTAGAAAAATAATCTTATCCTGTACATTCAGTTACATCATTGGAAAATTTATCACAAAAATATTTTTTTGAGGTAAAAAAATAGGAAAGACCTCTCGTGCGCGGCTCAGGCAAATGACAGCACTTCCTAAAACCTCTTTACGGCTTGTTCCACATTTTACTGAATAATGTAGCTTTGATCGCACATACTTGGTTTTTTTGAACGTGTTTGCAGGGTTTGATTTCACCGCAGGAAACAAATGCTGCTTCTCGTCTGGAAATACAAACAAAAATTGTGTCTTGGTAATTAAAAAGGTAAGTAAAATCACGTGGCTTCACCAGGACCACCTCAGACCGACGCCTCCGTCACTCTTTATGTAACTACGTTTCCACAGGGGACTTGAGTCGACGTTGAGGGAACTGAAGGGGATAATACTGACTGTAAAAACCTGCAGGAGGTACTTTCTGTGCACGCTTACACACACACACGCATACACACACAAAAATAATGTTTATTTCCAGTCCATTGCTGTTGTTTTTGCTGCTCTCTCTCTCCTCTTTCTACCTCCAGGGGTGTGGAGTCCAGAGGAGGCGACTAAGTTCAGGACAAGGTGCAGTCATAAGATCCTTCTTCCTCGTTCTGCTCCTCTGTCTGCTCAGGAGGACAGTCCTCGGGAGGACGAGAAAAACTTCCAGCAGGTTCCATCGAAGGCAGTCCCAAGACCAGCGTGGACGTGACTCCTCTGCTGTCCTCAGGTCGGGGTACGACCACTCCTCCCAGACCTTCAGAGCAGGTGAGTTTGGAGCTCTGGCTAACGGACTGGAAGGCTTCGGGCTGCACCTGCTCTGACCCGGTGTCCATCAGCTCCTGCAACTGTGGCTGAATCAGGTTCAAGAATGGTTTGTATCCAAGGCTGGAAGAAGGATAAGAGGGAAGTTTAGCACAAGGAGAAATGTGACGGAAGGATGAGTAAGAGTTGATGAACAGAACGAAAACTGGGGGAAGGATGGGAACAAATAAGGCAAGAGAAAAAGATGTAAAAAGAAGGAGAAAAGTGGACAGTGGACAAGGAAAAGGATGACGAAGAAGAAGAAGAAGACAAAGAAGTACCCACCAGTCAGTGGAGGCCCAGGAGTCGATGGCCAACAGACCATTTCTGACGCTCTGCACTGTTTCCTGTGGAACCTCTGGACTGTCCAGGAAACCAATCACCTGCTTAATGACATTTGCATCTCGGAGGATCAGTCCAATCACCACACACCACTCCAGACAGCCCGCCTCCATGAACACGTGGAGCAGGTACCTGAAGAAGACGGAGTGGACAGCTGTCACACAAATCTGGCAAAAACGGGACGACAGTAAAAACAACAACAACAACAACAACAACAACAACAACAAAGACGTTTCATCACATCTCACCTGAGCTGCACCTGCGACTTGTGTGGACCTTTGTTGGCCAGCTCCATGGAGATGTGCTCCAGCTCAGCCTGACTCAGACTCAGAGTGGACGAGTTCTCGTCCACCATGGTCCAGTCACCGTCCACCACTGAGCTGGTCTCTGTCAGGTCTGTGGCTGAGCCGATGCTGTACTCTTCCACTACAGGAAGAGGAAATGAGAGCTTTTAGGTGATGGTGGTTATTGTAACTGTAACATTGAAGAAATTAAAATGTTGATCACACAGTTTTGTTAAGTATAGTATTGTTAACAGTGCAGAATACTTTCCAAATAAGAACCTGGTGACAAATACTTCCCCTTGTTACCTTTGTTAGTGAGCAGTGACAGGAAGGCATCGTGCGTCTGTGGTGAATGCTGGTTGGAGTGAGCCGACGAGGCCGTGTCCATGTCTTTGCCGCCCTGACTGATCCCATCCAGCCAGGAGTGGTTGGTGGGAGCCGCCTCAGGGGGCGCTGTGTCCATGTTGTTGTTCAACAAGCTGTCAGCTGACTGTGACTTCAACAGCTGTGCACTCAACACTTAACACATAACAAAAAAAAACATATTCTCAAATTAACAGTAGCAACGGCCAAAGTTTCCCCTCCTGTTCGTGTGTACGTTCACTCATATCTGTCGCGTTTGTATCCTGTCACTCACCTGCTCGACAGCGTCCATTCTTCAGAGGAGAACTCAAGCTGCCCACGGGGATGACGGGAAACGGCCACAGGAAGTCCTTATGAAGCTTCTTCAGCGCCGAGACAAAATCATCGATGTGGGCCACGCGGTTTCTCTCCCTGCACAGCCAGCCGATGAGCTCGAAACCCAGCTGTGCTGAAAAGCACCCCAGGTCTCTGAGCCGCACTTGCTCCAGGAGGTGGCGGGCGTGGCGCCAAAGCATCATATCAATGTACATGTTTTCTGCACAGTCCACATCCCGCCTGACAAGAACCAAGATATGGAGAAAAAAAAACAAAAAACAGAAACATCTTATTGACCACGGTGGTTGTCACTCGTGTCAGTCGTTGTGGCGTGCGATTTTGAGTTCATACCCTTTGGTCGAGGGTCCAGCAGGCATACTGAAGGTCTTCTGCAGGTTGAACTTTCCTGTAGCGATGGAGTCGGCTGACTGAGACAAACTGATGCTGCGATTCCTGAAGAACTCAAAACCTCCAGTGGAGCTGGGTTCCTGAAACACAGATACACACAAGTGTTTCAAGCCTTAAATTATGTCGCAGTGAAAATATTTTTTTATCAGTTTTATTCATCATGGCGATTAAAACCTGAGTGGTTGGTGTTGGGGGCGGAGTCTCCATCTCCCCCGAGCCAATGGCTTTCAGGAATCTGATCATGTGTCGACACAGGTCCCATTTGCCCTGTTCCAGGGCCGTGTTGAAGAGCAGTGTGGCGTGCTGTCTGCTCACCGCAGGAACCTCCATGTTCTCGAAAGAAAAGGAAAGAACGACAAAGTAAATATGAAGGATGAGCCCGTTATAAACACACAACAATCGAAACAGCTCCATCTACGGAGTTGTTTTCAAAATCGGATAGGATTATCTGACCCTAACTATCTAGTAGTGGTGTAAGAAAATATCGATTGAAATATCACAATATTTTGTTTCATGATACATCGTATCAATATTCTACAACACTGTGTTGATTTTTATTAACAAGCAAATATTATGGGTTGGTTCATTTTATTTTGCTTTTATTTCTTATATTTACTTACTATGATGACACTTCGACTACAATTGAATTGTTTGTTTTTTTTAAATCAATTTATCGTTGTGTCTATAGTATCACAATGTATTGTATCTTTGTCCCTGTATCCCGATACATATCGTATCGCCAGATTTTTACCGATACACGAAGCCTACTACCTGCAGTATGATGAGGTAAGACGCCGCCGTGTCCAGATCCCGAGCCATGAGACACTCCTCAAACAGATCCTTGGGGTTTCCCACAGCCGCAAAAAGGTAGTTCCACAGTGCGTACTCCGTCTTCCTGGCACAGTGCACGATGGTCTGAAGGAAGAGGGGGAACTCTGTGATGAACTTGGCCACAGTGGGCAGTAGAGGATCGGGGATGGGCTCCCGTGATGTGGCTTCTTCTTCCAGGACCACGTGTACCATTAGCTCCATGACGTGGGGGAAATAAGGGAGGGAGGCACATGACTGAGCCAGCATCAGTGCCTGTGGAGACGCAGGGAACGTTCAATTAATGTTAATGTTAATGACCTCCAGCATTCAGTGAATACTGCAGTAGAAGTATTGCATCTAATAGTAGTAGTAATTTTAGTTGTAATTATTTTTTGCAGGAAAACAGGGGAAAAACATGGGCTTATTGTTATTTATAGGTAATTATGTTATGATTGTACTGGTCCAGCACCTGACATCTCATTAGGCTGTACGTATATATACCATATGTTTGACACCCCTGGTCCAGACATTAGGCTGTACGTGGCCACTGAACCATATGTTTGACACCCCTGGTCCAGACTAATGTTAGCCTAACGTACCTGTTCACCCAGGTTACGGACCAGCAGCTGCCTTAGGATGTGGTGGAGGTAGATCTGGGAAGTTCTCTCCACGGTGCAGTAGGGGAAAAGGGCCTCCAGAGAATCCCTGGACCCCTGCAGCCCGTCGTAGAGCACAGTCTCGTTGGTGGCCCCCAGCACCAGGGCGTCCTCGAACAGCACCGCCAGAGGATAGATGTTGATGTGGAAGGGCAGCATGATGCGTCTGGAGAGAAAGGAGTGGGGCTTGCGGTGGTCTCTGGGAAACAGCGGTAGCCACACTTTCATGCCTGCTTCGCCACACGATAACCACAGGGCTTCCAGCAGGTGGCGCTTCTTCCTGTTGGAGCGACAAGTGGTCCAGACGTTTTCCACACACTGGGCCAACACCACCGGAGGGCAGAATGGTAGCTGGAGGAGAGGTAACAGATGTTTCAGAGAGAGAGAGCTCCAAGAAGACGAGGGGAAATTCCACAAAGAGCATTTCCACTCACCAGCTTCTTGTTGTTCCCTGGAGTCTCCTTGTCTCGTACCTGAGGACCTGAGCGGTCCCTCTGCAGCATGATCAACTGGCCAGCCAGATTCAACATGATACTCTCTGCCATGCAGGCCTGAACATGAACACACACACACACACAGATGTAAACGATGCAAAAAACAATCACCACCTATAGATTATAAAAGCCGGTGTAAGTCTGTGTGTATTGTTACCTGCTGCGGGGCTTTCAATGTGATACCGGTCTCCGTGCGCACAGACGTGAGGGTGACAGAAACCACCAGGCCCGGGTGAGGAATGTAGCGAGACATCGACACTTCCTGCAGCAGCTCTACGCTGGCCGACGGGTTTGGACTGAAACACAAAAACACACACACTCAGGTACTAAGTTTTTGTATTTATGAAGTTGTCAAGAGTAACTACTATCACTACAATAAAATAATTTTTGCCCTGCACTACATATAGCTCACTCTTGTGGGTTTGTGTGTATAAACAGACGGCCATTTATTACTGATTTGGTGTAAACCTTAAACATTTTTTGAATCAGTAACACTTGATGCAATGATATTAAAATAGGTGCAATGACGATGGTGAAGAAAAGTGTTGACAACTGTATGTCACAGAACTAATTATTATTACATTGTGTAGAGCACTGTTTTCCAAAGACTGGGTCGCGACCCTCAGGTGGGTTGCAAGAGATTCTTTTTTTTTTTTGGGGTCTTCTCGCATCATGTTTCCCAATAGTTTATGAATAATGTCTGTTGACTTAGGTCGCGAAGGTTTGTGACTCTCAAAATATGGGTCCCCAGAAAAAAGTTTGGTTACATTGTGTTGACCTGCTGACCTTTTACAACTACATTGTGTATTTAGAGTGTATTTCACTTCATTTGCACAACCCACCAGACTGTGCAGCGGCGAAGGAAATTACACTGAGCCGAAATAGAAAACTAATTTCTGAGGAGAAAACAACAGCTAAAACAAAAAAAAATTGGCTTCTATCTCCAGGGAGTTCTTTAGGGCTGACGTGTGTGAGATAAAAAAGAGCAGTTTTTAGTTCAAAATCATTAGGTCAGCTCTAAACAGTCTTCTTCACAGGTTTGATGTCACACGTGTGTCCGTTCGTGCTGCCAGTGGAACCCGGAGCCCACCTGTCATTCCTCCTCTCAATGCTGTACAGGCAGATGGAGCAGTCGGCCCTGAACAGGATGACCATGTCTCTGAAGACGTTGAGCAGCAGGGTGTCTGAGTGCAGCTTGGTGACCGACGCAAAAGCGTTATCCAGGTTGGTGGAGCGTTGGTACAGCCTCAGCTTCATGACGACACGGACAAAAACAGAGCGAGAATCAAAAAGGTCACATTGATACAGGACAAACGACCTCATTGGACAAACGGAGATGGATAAGAAGTAGAGCTGAGGTGAGTGGTCGTCAGTCCTACCTGCTCTTGGTGGTCTGTGAAATTGTAGCAGGCCACAACCACAAAATCCTTCCACCACGCCAGACCTCCTGTCACCGTCATGTTCTGCTCCTGCAGGAGAAACACAAACACCATCATAAAAAAAAAAGAACGTTTTTTTTATTAGCGTGTCTTTTGTTATTATGACACAACACACAACAAAATGTGACCTCTGCTTTTTACCCATCACCAAACTGAACAGGGGGGGCAGCAGTGAGTCGGGGGGACAGTGCCATGCTCAGTAACATGGCAGTTCGTGGACTCCTTCTGGACCCAAGTCCACCTGTTCAACCACCAACTGTCCACTGCCCCCCATGTGTGATGGCAAAAAAAAAAAAATACAACAAAAAGCCTATGAAATATACATAAATACTAGAACAGTAATTTATTAAAAAACAAATGCTTTACCAAGTACAACCCACCCGCCACTGTACATATTTCCAAACAGGAAAACTGTCTGCTCTGTCCATTCTCTGCCTCAACAGTATGGTTTGTGTGTTGGAATAAACAGTCATAAAGTGTGAATCTGTCTTTGACAGTAACACATACCTGAGTGATGTTCCCAAACAACTTCCATTTCCTTGTAAAGAAGGAGTAGTGTGCAAAGCCCCGCCTCCCAGCTACAGCCATGCACTGACCGCCTGTGTCTATGGCTGAAAACTGGAGGAAAACACAAAACACATATTTTTTTTTTTAAATGCTGACAACATGACGACGAAGAATACAAATATACATGTGTCTTTGACGTTTGTCTTCCAGCCTTCGTAGCGTTTCAAAAGCAAACATGTAGAAATATTGTCTGTGTAAACATGTGACCTGGGCGACTTGGTGACGTGTTATTTATCATCTAAAACTACAGTCTCTCTTCCCTGATGTCAAACTCACCCGTATTGGCCAGTTGCTCTCTAGGTATGTGCTGTGAATCTGAAAAAAGGAGAGAGAAACAAAATCAAAACCCCCACCATAGTTGTTATACTTGACTGATACATATTTGAACCAAATACGTCCCCGTGCTGTGACTGTGAACCCTCACCTGGACCACGTGCCAGTGCTTGTGCCCCAGTAAAGTGCTGAGTCCCTGAGAAAGAGAGGAGTCGGGTTTGGGCGGGTGGTGCACGGGGCTGCCGTCCCTCTGGTGTAGGTGTGTGTGCGGGTGTGTGTCAGTTGTGCTGTGGACCTGTGTGGAGTCACCACAGGTCAGGTAAAGGCGATCTTCACCGTGGAGTAACACGTGCTCCTGATTACTCTGTGGGGCAGAGACACAGCAGCCATGAACATTCCTTTTCAATTTCAGCATCTGTTGGTGATTGTCGCGTGGAGGCGTGTTTATCATTTCTCTCACAGTGCAGGGGTTGACCGTGAGGGCACTTTTGATGAACTGGAACTGCAGTATACCAGCCTGCAGGGAGGAGGGAGGGGGCTCCACCATCTCCATATCCTGCTGCTCTTCCTGTCTCTTCTTCTCCTGTCTGCTCGGGATCACCCACAGGTGGTAGCCTTCAGCTCCCCAGCACTGGAGACGGTAGAGTACAAACTGAGGTCTGAGCTGTAGTGTGTGTACGTATAAACACTGAGCCCTGATCTACTGTATACCTGCAGAAAAAGGAATTACTAAAAAGGCCAAGCTTCACTAATTCTTGTTTAGGAAAACCCATGAGCTGACTGAAAAATGATATATGACATATATCAATATATCAATTTGGCTAAATTTAAACTAGGGGTGTGTATTGGTAGGAATCTGGCAATAAGATACGTATCGCGATACAGGGGCAACGATACGATACAATGTGATATACTGTGATAATATAAATACATAGATATGTATATATATATATACATATGCATACACATATATAGATATATATGTATATATACATATAGACATATACACATACATATACTGTATACCTATACATACATATATACACAAATACATATATACATAGATATACATATATATAGATATGCATACATATATACATATACAAATATGTATACATACATACATACATATATAGTTCTTTATTTTAATTTTTATTTAACTGTAGTCCAACTGTCATCATAGTAAACACATAACGCTGTTCCATCTGAACAGAGGGATCTACATTTGTAATCACTAGAGAAAAAAGAAAAGAAAAATTAACCAACGTCATGAATATTTAATTAGTAATTGTTAATAAAAAAATCGGCTGTAGAAAGTCCTGTAGAATAACGATATCATAAAATGAAATATCGCGATATTTCTGTGTATTGATAATTTCTTTCTCTTTTACTTTAATCTCTTAAACCAGCAGGTGGCAATAACACTTTACGAACCATTGAGCTGATTTTAATGGCGTCCTTCTTGGTACCATCGGAACGAAACCTGAAGTGACAACACACAGAGAGAGAGGTGTGATGAGGAGGAGATAAAATTCACAACGGTGTTGGTTTGTTTGTCCTCATCTGTCCCCTTACGCAAAGTCCTCTCCCAGAGTGCATATGAGGTGAGCTCCAAAGACACTCCACAGCGATAGGCCGCCGCACTCCCAGGTTACCATGACAACACTGTAGTCAGGTGACCAGCAGATGAGCTTGACTGGGCCCGTCTTGTTATAGATGTCTGAAAAAGGAGAATTCACGGAGATTTGACGCTTCAGCGAATCTGAATTAATCATCTTTGAAATAAAACAGAACGCTGTGGGCGCTCATCTAAAATGACTCTTTCTAGGAACAGTAAAAGTGTAAAAAATGTATTTTTGCTTCTGCACAACAAACACAATCCTTACATGTGGTAATATATCATCACCACAAAACTGCAGCAGAAGCTGAGTAGAGTGTTTTAAGAGTCGGGAATGTGGATTTTTGTTTTCCTTTTTACTTAAATTGCAAAACAACGAGCTTCTCTCGCAGCCTGTTCAAGACTTTAAAAATGTTTTACGAATTAAATTCTTGCCTAAAGAAAAATTATGGGATGGAATTTTTTTTTTTTTAGAATTGCATAATAACGTTTCTAAGCCATATAAATTCTCTAGTAACCGAGATAATGAGGATTCAAATAAATTGCTCTGGAGCCCCACTAGGTGGGGCTGTTGCTCCTAAACCAAGCATTACTATTCCGAAACAGATGTGAACTAAGAGGAAACACAGACGTGATACCCAGGAGAGAGGCAGCTGAAGGAATGCAAGTAATGTAGGAGATGGATTTGAAGGAACAGAACAGATAAAAAAGAACAAAGTGGAGAGGGGGGCGGGGCAAAGGACGGGGGTAAAAAAATATATATGAGATAACAGCACCTGGGTAGTGTATTGGGGTGAGCTCCAGTTTGTGGGACAGCTGCATGGATCCCGTTGTGGTGTCGATCATGTAGACCAGCACTGAGCCACTGGGAAAAAAGGGAAAAAGACAAAAATGAAAAGTTGTTGTCGACTCTGTGAGCAGAGCTGCTGCAGCACAGCTTGACCTGCTGACCTTTCACAACTATACAACTACACTATATATATATATATATATATATATATACCCCGCAGGGACACTTTCAACAGCATTCAGCTGCTCGCTGCTTCTGAGTGCACATTCATTTGGACACACACACACACAAGGTCAGGTCAGCTGACTGATGGAGCGTTCAAACTGGATATTTAGTAACAGCTTCAAACAGGTAAACAAACTTCAATGTTTTTTTATTCCAGGTCTCATTACTGACATTAAATTCAGATCTGTTGTTTGATGGAACATCTTGTTTTTGTTTTAATTATCAGGCTAAGGACAGGTTTAAATTGTTGGAGAACTGATGGAACTGTGTGTCTCCTAAGCCATTTTTTCCAGCGTGTAAAAAATCCATTACTAATTGGCTCAGGCACTGACGACAATAAAGTCTCTGAACAACAGTGATGTGTGTCTTTCTAGTTGGATGAGAGTTTTTTTAGGGAGGATGTTCGGACCTGAAACCGTAAAGTAATACCTCGAGGTACGAGCGTCCCAACATACGTATATTCCAAGATGCGAGCAAGTCTTCGAGCTAATTTTTGCTTTGAGATACGAGCACACTTACAGACGCCGACGCTAAGTTAAGGTAAGTTAATGCATGTTACGTAGTGTATGTGTAAGGTCAGGTACGGAATTAAGTGTCGTACGGGCCAACTCTCTTCCCTCCCTCCCTCTCCTCTTCCCTCCCTTCCTTCCTTCCTCCCTCCCTTCCTTCCTCCCTCCTCCTCCTCTGCACATGCTGCCCTTTTTCTTTCTATCAATGGAATCCTTCTCTCCCTCCTCCTCCTCTGCACATGCTGCCATTTGTTTGTCTCTATAGCAATTAAAAAAAGTTTTTTTCATTGTTATTAGCACTAAAAAGGGTTTTTTTTAAGGAGCCGGAACGAATTCATTTTTCCCCCCGTTATTTCTTATGGGAAAAAATGATTTGAAATACGAGCACCTCCAGTTACGAGTCACACTCGATCCTGGAACGGGATACGCTCGTATCTCGAGGTTCCACTGCACCACTTTGTACCTCTGTTGGTCAACAAAACAATAACGATAACAAATGTACGATTCATGCTGGTTATGATATTAGATATTTTAGTTTTTATTGCACCTTTAGTGATGGTGCTAAACTAAAAAAAACAGGAATGATGGAGACTGAGGAGGAGGAGGAGTTCCTGCAGACTGACAGACTGCACTGTCCAGGAGGACTTTTTGACAAGCACACACTAGTCGGCCTGTACAAACACAAACTGACAGAGTCTTAGAGAGAACACACACACACCACACGGGCAACGATTGCTCTCTGTAACACACACTCACAAACGCATCTACCCAAAATTGACTTTCCGATGTTGTTCTAGAAAATGAACTGAAAAAAAAAAAAACAGTACCTGGCGCAGCCAAAGGCCATCAGTCTGTACTTGTTGTTGACGGCCACACAGGTGCCGTCTGTGACATCTGCGGCCCAGACGCCCTGCAGCTGCTGGACACACACACACACACAGAGACATATATGTATCAATGTTAGGACTTTTAAAAAAGGTTTCACCAAAGTGTTGAAAGTTTGCAACTCTGGACATGTTCCACGAGTCACCATCAAGGTCTGAAGTAATGACTTCATTCCATCAAATCTGTGATGCTACATTTTTTAGTTATACTTTTATTTCTTTTGACATTTTCCATATTAATAATTCCATCATTTAGACGAGTCTAAAAACAAAAAAAAGCTGGTGTGAAACACAAACATCTACCTGCTGTCATTGGTCTTTCTGTTCCAGTTTTATATAGAATTTTTCCGGAATTATTTTTCTGCTTTATTACAATCAAAATTAATCATTACTTTTCAAAACGATCAGTCTGAAATTTTAATCTGTTATTTTACAACATTTTATACAAGTACTTTTGTTTGGTTGCCGAACAAAGGTGTGTTTTTATCCAGGTCTGACAATCAAGCGCATATTTGTCAACAGTTAACTCACAATTAACTGCACATTAATCACGCTGTTTTTTTTATATGTTCTTAATATAGACAGATACCCCAAAATATCCCGGTATAACAATTGGGTTTATTCAAATGTCTGTTTATTTTTTTATTACCATCATCCAAAACAATGTTCAAGATATTCTGAACATTGTTTTCAAATAAGGAGACTTTCCAGTATTGCTCTGGGATTTGTTAGAAACGCTGCATTATGAGTTTGGACAAAAATCACTGTTAATCCCCACTTTATGTCTCCCTTGGGAGAATGTGTTAGGAAAAACAAAGCCGTAATACGGGCAATAAAGGAGCACTTTAGCATCTCATTGTGTCGTTGTACTGCAGTGATAACTAAATCCACAGCCAAAGGGACACGTCGTGAGGACCATCAGGTCAGCTGAGGTTTCCTGCACACATATGAACATGTCTATTATAAAACATAGAGATTTAGACTGGAGCGAGTTGCATCACCGCTGTAAATCATCCTTAACGATGAATGGGAAACTGTACCGGGATCAAACATCACAGGGAACAGCAACAGTTCTCCTGGTAATCTTAAAAAAAACTCCCTCTCAGCCCTGAAGAGCAGCTCAGCATGTTCCCTTCACTACAGCATCTGTTCTTTAAGCGGGTTTTTTTTCCTCCACAAAAATATCTGGGATGATGTTGAGGTAACAGTTTCCATTACAGACTCGCAGGCCGAGCAGAAAGTTCTTGGCAGAATGAATGTAGTTATCATAACAACATTTTTAAATCATTTTTCAATGTCAAATTAAAAAAAACTTTTTTTTGAAATTTTTGTGTTCTTTTCCTTACATCCGCCGTGATGGTGTTGCTCAAAGGTGTGATGAAACCCAGTCGACCGTCGCTGAGGACCACCGCAAAACCGTCCAAGGTCACACAATACTCCATGCATCGGATATGCACTCCCTCCAAGTCCAGAGAAGGACCACCTACAACACAAGAGCCAATCATCAACAAACTTCCGAACTATAAGTTGCTCTGGAGTATAAGTCGCACTAGCAATAAATAAATAAATAAATAAATAAAGCATAATGAAGAAGAAAAAACATATATAAGTTGCACTATCCAGTTAAGAGTGCCCTCTAGCGGCTGTCAGTGTGAAAATAACAAACATGTAAAATTATATTTATAAAAATATGTAATTCGCGTCTGAGTTTAAGTTGCAAAGTATACAAAAGAATATGGTAACGTGTCGGCCTTATGTTGAAGGTGAGAACTGTGTGTGTTTGTTTGTAGAGTCTGGTGGCGTCTGACCTCGAGCAGACTGCAGGTCCAATGAGAAGGGGATCGTAGTCAGGCAGATGGCTTTACGTCCATTGTTGCCCAGCCCGTCCCAGTGCAGCACGTGGAGGTAACCATCTGCCGTACACACCAGTAAGTCCTCCTGAAGAGACTGCAGGCTGGAGGAAATACACAATTAAAAAAAAAAAGTTGAGTTGGTGATCAAATAAGAACTGGCAGCGAGACTTGGTACAAATGGTGAGAACGAGATAAACAGCAGAGAGTTGGAATACAGTGGGTTAGTCATCGGTCA